ACACACACACACACACACACACACACACACACACACACACACACACAAGCACGAACGTGCGCTTGCTGACCAAAGCACAAGCTCGTCAGACTCTCTCACACACAAAAACACACACACACACACAGAGAGACACACACTCTCCCTGGAGGCCAGGCGGGTGGTCTGGCTGGGACAGAGATGGACACATGCTGGGATCATAGCTGCCATGTGTAAATTCAAAATTTTCCTCTCTTTCTCTTYGACTTTTTTTTCTCTAATCTCCCGCTTCCATCCTTCTCTTATCGCTGACACCCTGCTCCCACCTCCCCCCGCTGCGTTCACGCTCCTGTGCCTTTAAAAACCTGAGTGTGTCAAATGTATTCCGCACACAAACCCATCAGCCAACTGTTCCTGAACCTATAGGGGCAATTAGACACTTGTGACTAAAATCTGGTGATTTTTGCACTCTCTTGCTCCCTCTCAAAGAATCATGTGTTTCTGCCTTGATCCTACACTCCCCTCCTTCCTTCTGTTCTTTTTTCATGTAGCTGGGTACCAAACTCCTCATTACTCTAATTTGGAGAGAGCGCGGCTCTCCTAATGGGCTCAGGGGTCTGAAGAATATCAAGTGCTGCTTAATTCTTTAATTCTATTCAGCCTTTACATTCATGTCATCCTTCCACCAGCTCCTCTGGCCCACTCTCCCCCCTCCCCCCATCATTTTGTATCCCATTTAATGTCCCTCAGCAAACAGCTATTAAAAGATGGTTCCATGCTTCTTCATTCCCCCCCGCTCTAATAAAAAAAGAGCAAAGATGTGAGTTTTAAAAGCATATCAAAGCATCACATCTAGTCCCTCTTCATGCCAGCATTTGTTCCCGGCATCCAACAAGTGTGTACATGTTGTTGCTGCTGCTCAGGCTCAACTGAACCTGTACTTATTTAACCCTATCGTTTGCTGAAACAGACAAATCTCCATGGTGACCGAAGCAGCAGAGAGCAGGTGGAGGGCCCTTGAGGATGCATTAGGACCTTCTTGCAATGAGGGGACGCATCTTCGCTGCACACAGGACTGTGCAGCAGGTCCGTTTCAAGGGCCTAAACAAGGTTCATTGTCTCAGCCCGGAATTGTTTCTGGGTCACTGTGCATCTGCAGCTCAACTAAGAGCCATTTGAATGGCCAGACTACTTTGATTATACAAATTTTAAAGTAAAATTAGGATGAAATTGAATGAACTAGACTACTTTGACATGAAAGATTTTATTATTTTTTCTAAAAGGGAAAAAAGGAAACATTAGTCTGTTCGAATGCCGTATGAGTAAGTTTTGGATAATCAAATCAAGACAGAGACCTATGCGACAAAATAATGAGCTGGCTTAGAGAAGGACAAAGAAAAAGCAGGAGTTGAGGTCTGAATAATCAGCAACAGGTAAGTAATACCTGCTTCTTGTCTGAACACAAAGGCAGTGATCATGAACTGTTTGCAAATGCCCACTATATTTTAAGAAAATGTGGATTCTCTTAGAAATAATCATCGAAAATTTGAACAGAGAAGAATAAATGTGCCAATGAGAGACTATTCAAACCAAGAATACTTCCTAAAACGAGGTTTGATAAATGGAAAAAAGGCGGCATAGTAACAGAAATCAAATCATAATAGTAAAAAATATAAAATAAGACTATTACAATCCTGATGATATCGTAAAGTGCATCACATCAAAGMAGAATTCATAAAATCCTTCCTCTATTATTTTGTGGACAAAAAAAATCTGTAGGCCACTATCACATTTAAATCTGGACAAACTGAAATCTGTGTAAATTAGACTATTCAGCTGTGAAAATGGAGACTGAGAGAAAATAAAATAATCAGACATGGACATCATAAAGTATTTATATATATCCTCTCATCCATCACKTTTTATTTATATACTGTATTCATAGGGTCATGGAGACACTAGGTCCAAAATGAGASCCCAGGAATTCCAAGTGACACGTTCCAACTCCCTCTGGGAAGATCCCAAGGTGTTTCTAAGTCSAAAAGGACATATAATCCCTCCAATAAGTTCTGGGTTTGTCCCAAGGTCTGCAGTGGAACATGCCTGAAACAACTTCAAGAGGAGTCAGCCAGAAGGCGTTCATTGACATGTCTGAATCACCTTAGCTGACTCCTTTTTCACTCCGATCAGGGGAATTCTGATTCAATATTTGATGCAAAAGCTAAACAACAGTCCGAACCTTGCCTCATGCAGCTCAGAACTGTAGAGACCCACTCACTCACTACAGAAAACCCCACCACTGAGGTGGTCTCCCTCCTCCTGCCCCAMATTTCTTCATGGGTAACTTTTGAGTTTGAGAAGCTTCAGCCTCTCTTTCTAGAACTTTTGTTCCAACCAACACTGTGTGGATTTTACAAATATATGGTTGATTTTGCTCAGCCTCACACACCAGCTCCAACTTCCTTCCTGCCAGTAAAATGAAATTCTTGTAATGTCAAAAACTGGCACCACCAGGCCCCGAGCCCCATTTGCCACCCAGCTCACAGTACACCTCACCTCAGCTACTCCCCCGACAGGTGATGGGCCTACATGGGCCCACGCCTTCAAAAGCAAGCATGTCCACCAGGTCTGGCTTCACACATGTGACCCTTTTTCCCCATTCCGAGTGGAGTACACTGGTTACATAGRTGTTTTGTTCAAGTCTTTGACTTCCTTTTATTATGACTTTTCCTCTCCATGAGCAATTACTCAAGTGGCTGACCTGGACAACTCAGCACCCAGGATGTTCGGGGTACTTGAAACATTTTCATCACATTAAAAGGTGGTGATTAAACTGAAGGGCAAARAAATATTTATTTGACAATTATTTTCTTGCATCTTCCTTGGTCGCTGGTGGTTCAAAAGAACCAGACGGAGAAAAAGAAAACGTTGACCACTAATGTCAAAATTGATTTAATTATTTGGCCATGCAAGGAACCTCAGTGCAAAAGTCAGTGAAATTTAATAAATTACTGGCACCAACGACCAAACAACCTAACGTGATTGCAGCACAAGACATTTACAAGAGTGTGATAATGCATTCTAATGGAGGAGCAACATTTATCAGCCAGCTGGACCATTTCTGATCGAATCTGTTAATAAGACTTAATAATGTCCCTTTAGACATCCAAGACTTGTTCTCATGTGTATGAATGGATATAAATTAATTACTGGATTACATTTTTTGTATAATTCTGTGCATACAGATGCAGCTCTGATATATTGCAGTTATTTGCTTGTTTAGCTTTGTGTACGAGTTTGTGTGTAGGCAGTCTAGACATATATTAAATAAACTGAAAAAAAACCCTGAGATGAACACAAATGTATGTGCTAGTTTGTTTCATCTATGCTAATTTTGCATCTGGAGCAAATGTCACAACTGTTATTTATAATAAAACAACTGAAAAATAAAAATGTTTTGTTTGATAATAACTATGATGCAGGACATCTGAACATATTGCTTTATGACTGGACCTGAGATTCTTCCCTTTAACTGTTTCTCTAACCACAGTCCTGCACACACCGGCAGTGTGAGACTGATTGTTGAGGGGGAAAAAGTAAACTAAAACCACGGACAAACTAAATACTGGCTTGATAATGGACCCTGATTAACATTTTTATTAAAATCAGAATGGAATCATAAATAATTCAACACAATTTGATTGAATCATTTTTAGTTGTTGATTATTTTCATGTCCATTTCTTATGATTTTTAGTTTCTGTATATTTTTCGTGTTCAGATTGCTCATTCCCTCCCCGTGTCTCTACCATTCCCAGTAGRTCTCCACATTAAAGGCTTCCCTCCGAACAGCTGAAATCGGCTCTTATTGTTGCAGTTGCGTGATGAAAATTGCGAAATTTTGCTCGCAGTTTCGTGTCTTTCGCCCCTTCTTGTCACGACTGGCCGAGAGAACCTTTCACCCCCACTCTGTATAATAAATTATAGTGTGATTGGTCAGAATGTCGTGGTGGTCTGAAAGCGCTCRGACGCTGCATTTTGCTTCAACTACTCGCTTCCAACATCCACGTTGTGCCCGGAAGCAGACATTTATAAAGATAGTCAAATGACCAAAAAACTCCTGGATGGAGTTAAAAACAGTTGTTAAGCATGGAGGAATCTGTCTCGCAAAAAAATCTGGTGCTTTAACAGGAAATTTGTGGACAAAATAACAGTGGACTCCAGYGGGAAGAAACCCTGTGCAGTGTCCTGTRCMGCAGAGGGAGGGGTTTRCCAGGAGCTCGGGGCGTACCGTGCGTCTCAGGGGCTTTGAAAGATGTGTGTGAAAACAARCGTCAAACAACCACACGGTCGACTGTTCGACTTCGGAACGAGTATACTGGATTCTTACTCTGTGTCTCTCAGTCAGCCTGTAACACCCATCTACATCTACACATGCTCTCCATTTCACATCACAGCTGCAGCCACTTCTCCCATCAGCCCCTGTCCTTATTATATCTGAGCATTCATTTACTCCTCAGTGGAGCATTATGTATTCTAAACACCATATYGGGTTCTTCATGTGCTTTCTAGAGTGTCCTCTGTTGTTTTAAGCTTTTTTTKCTGCCATGACAGCCTTTTGTTTCTGTTTAAATAAAGTTTTGCTAATTTTCATTGAAGCTCCTTGTGTTCGGTCTGCATTTCTGGATCCAACTTTATTCCACCATGACTGTTTTGCTCTCAAAGTCAGTTATTATATGCGCAGTTCTGGTTTTCTTTCTTGTTCATAGTTTATTTATTTTGACAAAGCCTTTGCACTTTTTATTAAAGTATCCTCATCACACAAACCCGACTTGTGTTAATTAAAAAAACATCTTTCTGACTACAAGTGGAGAATGATAAAATTGATTTTTTTTGTTTTTACACAGTTATCAAAGATGTTATGTGTGCATTATTTCTTTTAATTTAAAGTCATGTGAAAAATATGCTAAAGTTATAATT